CCGTATGATTTTTTCACATTATGTTTCACAAATTAAATAAAAAATACACAGAAGAAGAAGAACGTGTCTCCGATAAAAATTTGAAGAGTACTATTAGAACAAGATATGTATTTTTCAAATTTTGTATTGCACGCTAGTTTGTTGTTTCAAATTTTTCGACATTCTCCTTTTTTTAGCACTATACAAAAAATAATGGTGTGTTGCGAAAAGTGTAATAGTAAATGACACTGGATGGCAGTTAGAATGATCGTTCCGTCACTGCAATCATACATTAAATTTACATGAACGTCGTCCTCACATTGATACACGATCACGCAGGTGTTCATAAAAAATTCTCAGTTGAACTCGTCAGTTTCTTCCATCACTTTGTTTATCCATAATACGTAGTTTGACAATTTCGCGTATATTCCGAACTTTCCACGTTTCCCACATCCTTCACCAAAACTGGTGATGCCAAAAATGGTCCACGGTCGGTTAGGTTTTTTCGGGTCTTGGCACAAAAGTGGACCACCGCTATCACCCGCGCAAGAATCCATCCGTCCGCGAAGATAGCCAGCGCAGAACATATTATCTGTGATCGCGTAGTCCACGTACACATCTCTACACGCTTCCAAAGACACGATCGGAATCTGAAATAAATATTTGAAAATTGTTTTAAGATCTCGAAGGTGTCGGGAATCGTTGAACTTATATTATTTACTTATTTTATTTTTTATTATTCAATTATTTTAATGCGAGTTTAACGTACTCGAGCCTCGTGAAGAACGTCGGTTCCGAAGTTATCGGTGACTCGAGACTTTCCCCATCCGATGATCGTGCACAGTTGCTTCGCGGGTAGAGGTTGATTGGGTGCCGGGAGGCAAGCGATTCCTCTGGACGGTGACATTGTCAACGTTACCGGAAGTCGTAACATTGCAACGTCGTTGTCCACTATGTTCGCGTCGTACTCAGGGTGTACAGTTATCGAGTCCACCTGAAGAGAAAGCATGTCTCAATTAATGAATAATCTTATCGTTGACATCAGAAAGTGTGTTAAGATATATACCCTTAATTCCAATTCATTGCCCTCTTGAACGGTTAAATCGTGCTCCCCGATACGCACATAAAGTCGTTTTCTGATACAATGAGCCGCGGTCAGTACCCATCTTGGGGAGACTAAAGTGCCACCGCAAAAAGCCTCCTAAAAGAAATGATTTCCATCAACGAAATAATAGCTAATTTCCAATTGCTGATTTTGATCACTTACACGATATCTGTTCAACACGGCCACTTGCCAGGGCCAGCTCCCGGGGATCGATGGCTTCCCACCGATGATCCTCGTGAAATAGGAAAGACGAGAAGTCTTTTGAGTATTTGAAACGCCGCACTTCCAAACATGAGAATTTTTTTCTGGAATAAAACTGTCGACGGTGTTCGGATCGAACACGAATTCGTCCAGTAGATCTGTGAACGTTAAAAAGTAGTCTATGTGGGATCGAAAATATTTTTTTATTTCAATCTCCTTACCGTCGTTGTCCTCTTCTTGACTCCCACGAATTTTCCGACGAATCCATCTTTGACAGAAGCTGCCCTCGACGTAGCAGTAAGCGCTTTCCCTTATAACGTCGCGCCCGCAAATACCGGGCTTCTTACACCACCTTAAATTATTTCCTCGCTTGAATCAAGATTCGTCGATTTCTTGTACCATTAAAGAAGGTATAAAAATTTACCTGTGACGCTGCGTGGTGCACAGTCTTGTACAAGGTGACCACTTGCTCCACTTTCCATAGTAGCCCACAGACTGTTCCTTGTCCCTTCGCTTGCCCTGTCTGAGCTCTGCTTCTTTCTTCGGAATCTGCATCACACGTACAATCGCGATCGTCAAAAAGGGAATCTGAACTGAATAATTCATAGGATGTTCAAGGTAGAATTAGAATCTTACTTGTACGACGTGGAACTTGGCTCTTTGTCGATGGCCTCGCCGTTGTTGGTGCTTGCATCTCCTCCACCTCCCTTTCCTATTGTGTTGACACACTCGTTCTTCCTAGCGTATAAAATTTCATGCAACCTCGTAAACCTCGTTTTCAAACAGCAAATCTTATTGTTAGTAACGTTCATGAACTCACTCTAAGTATCGTCGTGCCGCACTTCTTCTTCACCCTACACCTTCGCACGCGATTCTGCGTGCAGTGGCGATCGCACACGCTCCATTCGCTCCAGTTAGTGAAGTGCATCAATTTCCTAGATTCTGTGCAGTCAGAACATATAAAAAGAAATTGATATTAAAAACGGGAAAAATAAAAGATTAACTCACTGTTGTTCGACGATTGGTCCGCGGCAGGATCCTGATCGTCCGTTCGAAGCAAGCTCGTGTCATTGTTCCCGTCAGGCAAAAACGTCTCGTTTCCACTCTAAAATTAGCAAAGAACACAGCGTGCAATTAATCGTCGCTACCTGAAAGCGAGGTCGCGATCGTGATTCTCGATGTTTTTTCTTCTTAAATGATACAGAAATAACCACGCCTCGATTCTTTCATTTTTTACTGAATTGAAATGAAAAAGGTAAGCAAATGAGTCATTAAAATAAAAAGCGTTCTTGCGAGGATCGTGACAAAAACCACGGCACGGTTGCTCGCACTTTAAGCAGAGGGGTTAATAGTCCAATCATTGCTGACGATGCTGTCTCAGATATCGCTTAGCATTTCCCAAGGTTGGAACGTTCAGGCTAGCGCACGCCACTGAACCTAATTTACTAGCTAAATAGCATCGCGACGTAACCAGCGTCGTTATTGCTCAATGTCTGTCGTCGACGATTTTATAGACGCTATTCATCGTGGTATTATAATAAATTATTACTTCTTTCTTGAGCATTTGAAAATGACTGGAATTAATGGTCCATGTGTTAAATGAAGTAGTTAGCTGTATACAATTTCGAATGAATTGATGTTAGCATAAACGAGCAATTTTCCTGGAGTAGCATCTCATCCAGAAACGTAGGCGCGTAAAATAATAGCGATAGGATTTCCATCCGATGGACATAATGGAAGATTAAGATAGACGATTACCGATAAACGTGGTCTCGTCGATCAATGAAAATGGAACTGGCACACGTAAGATCACACCCCTCTTTTGATCCAGCCCACGTTTGCTCATTACCGCAGACAATGGTCAGGCAAACCGACGACTAAGTTACCTAATCGAGGTCGGATCGTCTTAAGAAATCTAACATCGGGTCGCGTAATATTTTACAGGGTTGGCTCTATACGAGTTCTAATTATCCCACTTCAAGTTTAATGAAATAGTGTCTGCGTAATAAAAGAATAAGAGTATTAAATATGAAGGTGATTCTATTTCTGCCGGTTTCTTTGAAATGGGAGATCGAGGGAAATTTGATCATCGTTGCAATTGCATTTGAAGGTACTTAATAATAATTTTCTCGTTCCCGTCGAGTTTATGATCGGATTAGTGCAGCCCGGAGCGCGGTGCACCTTTTAAGCGTATGCGACCCGAGAGTTCACGGTTAACGATGTTCCCGTATTGCACAATTAATTTCTTCGAACTGGCTGCAAAAGGAAACAGGTTCCCCCCCCTCAAATTCCTTTCTCACTGTAACCAGATCACGTCAAAGCTCTCTGTCTTTATTCCTCTCATTCATTTTATTGTATCATTACAAATCCAATGAAATTATCACATTTTCTTTTATAAAATTATGAACTCCTTAAGGTTTGATACATCCGTTAGGGTTTTGATAATTATTCGAAACTATTCAGAGTTTTATGGCAATGTGCATAAGTAAGTTTGGGGACCAGATTCTTCGCTCCTTCCGCGACACGATCGCGAGAGAAAAAGTAGATCGGAGAGAAGAATTTGTATGCGTCACGGTGGACATTACCAAACTGGGCTGAACCACAAAAAAAAAAGAGCCACTTGTTAATATACATCGGCCTTTGATTTCGAAGAGAAGAGAATTGAAGTCGAGAAGATAGTCGCGATAATACGGAGAACATTCCGTGCGAGCGTGTCTGAAATGATTCACGGTTGCATTACGTATGCAACTTTAATACCGTTTCGCATTCAAAACATCCCTGAACGGCACCCTACCAATACGCGCATTCCGACCGGTGCGCTGCTCACCTGTGCGCATTTGTCGGTGCTTTATGCGCGTGTAACTGTACCTAGGGTAAGAACGCTCGTTTATTTTACTAGAAATCGTCTGTTCCTCCGTTTCTATTGTGCGCCGCCGTTGCGTTACTATAATAAAGCGTGGGCGGATGCTTTAAGGAGACGAGAAAAGATCTCACTCTCTCGGAGAAACTGCCAATGGAAGCGTTCGTAAAAGAAGTTTCATGGCGTAATAAAATTGATAAAATATATAAGCGATCATAATTCAGCTTGAAATTCCAATGGAAAAAACCAGCAGACAAAAACGGGTACATCCCAGGGAGCTGTATTAACAATTCAAAAAGCGCAATTACACCGATCTTGAACAGATGAAAAAAGAAGGATAGCGCGGGCATTTCGCTGCGCGGGATCGAAGAAGGCTCGGCAAAAACGGAGGGTGGAAGAAAAAAAAAAATGGAAGAACGGGAATGGTAAAGGGGGTCCTGGCGCGACGGCCAATGCCGAAGAAGATGGATAAGGTTCGGAAGCAATGACATTCGTTTCGCGGTCTGACGCCCCGACTATACCCTAGATGGCAACGCGAGGCGAGTGTCCCAACGACCGAAAATGGCCGGTGATTTCTTCGCTAAGGATTGTAATACCCCCGCGAACGATGGAACGCTCGCTATGGCGAGATCGCGGCCTGATTTATGTGCTCGGGAGCGAGCGAGAACGCGCGCGACATCCGAAGGCCAAGGTCCTCGTCCACCTACTATGGTCAGGATGACGTCCGGCTACGGCCTACGTCGCGTAAATCGTCTCCAAGCGTATATTCGCTACGCGAGGATTCCGCGAAACCACCGACGCGACGTCGTCTGATTTTCCTTCGGCTAATTCTTTGCTCCGGTTTAATTACCGTCGGCACCCCTTTGTCGAGTTACTCAGGGCATCGTACGCGGGACGCTCTCTGCTAATGAGACTCTTTATTCGGAATTTTTCAATAAACATGGCAATGTTTTTTTTTTAAGAATTACGCAGTCATTTCGTTTTGCAAATAACATAGCAGTCTTGCACGTAGATCGTAGAATGCTGAATTTACATGTAAATGTTCTTAGCGACAGACCAACGAAACCTAGCAATTCCTGTTTCCATAAAGACGTAAGAGAGAAACACTAGGAACAATACAGGCTCTGAGCGGTCAATTGCCTGCGGACAAACCACAGCTAGTATTCTCTCTCAAGAGTAATTTTAAAGCAAATGAGGTAGACTGCAAGAGGGAAATCCTCTAACGAACCCAGCCCCTCGAATCCTTTTGGGTTGGGTTCGACCCGGTAACGCAGTCACGGTAGATTTGCAGCCCGAGTAAATGTCATCGGGGGGGCTTTTCAAACGAACCGTAACAGACACCGTGACTGGATACTCTGGCCACTGTTCTGCTGCGTTGCGCGACGTTTGTTTAATGCGGCCAACCAATTTATATTCCCATTTATACATTGCATCGAGAGACCAAGTGGAACCTCGGATGGAATTTTGCGATACACTTTCGTTTCGAAAGAAATCGGCTGGTTCACAGGTGGACATTTCCACGGGTTAGGTTTACGTTCGTCTTATCCGCGACGGTTCAACGGAACGGCTCTCGTTATGCGACTCTCGTAGCTTCCGCGAAGACCCAGCATTTTGCGAAAGGACGCGCTTCAACGACGTCCGCGAATTAACCATCGGCCGGTCCGACCGTGATTTCCATTTTACTTCAAGCCTGACTATTTTTCTCCGGCTTAGAAAATTTGAAATCGGGCCCGCAAACTTGTATAAGATTAGATTCTCAGATTAGGAAGGTGATCGCTGGCCGTTCCACAGAATTATGTGACAGTATTTCTTCTAAATTGCACAGGATTGTTCAGATATAATAAATATCTAGCATGTTAGCGGACGTTTCCAACAATTTCTTACATTGGACGTATAAAGTCGTCTAGTTTATCGTCGTGTAAGTCGAAACCTATGAAAAACAGTTTCAACGTGAAGTTTCTCTACAGTTAAATGCGCTGCCGGGTACATTTGCATCTCTTTACTTTTACAAAATCTTGTCCAAGTAGGTATATGTATCTGTTTGTCGCGAGTAAACCACGAAAGCGAGGCTGCAAGGGCCTAAGAGACTTTCCAACTCGTTGCGCAATCTATTTTTGCCGCCGTTTAAAAGCTTTTTACGTAATCTCAGGTCAAACCCTTTTAGGTCGAACCTCTTACTTGAAATTCGTGTTGAACGTCTGTTGCTGCGTAATGTAACTTTGTTAACTGGACAAAAAGAATTGGGATTAGTAAAGAAATATTTAGTAGAACCTGTCTCCGTGCGGAAAGCTTGCATTTAAGGGATGATTTAAGATTGGCTCGTTTACCAGTGGAAAAGAAACGATAAGTCTAAACTATTGCACGGTCGACGGGCGTGTAGGAGCTCGGTAGTCCCGCCACGGAGCGGTTAAACGTGTCACGTGTCGGAAGAAACGTCTCCGAACGAACGCGACTCCCACGGAATTTATTGCCTGGGCAACGGTAGCACGGCTCGGCGCTTGTTTATCGCGTCTCCCGTAACTTCCACGTGCATCCACTAGTACTACTACACAACTAAGTTTCTCTCTTTCTCCCTCTCTCTGTCGTGCAATATCTTAACGCTGTGATGAGATCATCGCGTGATTTACTGTCTCCCTTGTGCAATGAGGAGCAGCACGCGCTGTCCGCCCACCTCGAATCTAACCGAACGCGATTCCGGGACTTCTCGCTTCCTCCGTGCAAAATTCAATCGCGGTGCTGGTTAAAAATATCCAGAAAAATATGTACACCGCGCTCGGTTATGTGAAATTGGACGGCCTCGCGAAGTTGGGGGTCTTCGAATGTCTGAGCGCGCGCGAGACCGTCCCGTCGAAGGGAAACCGCGTAAAAATAGTCAGTCCTGACAGGTTTAGTCTCTCGTGCATTTGTTTCCCCGTCGACTGTTTGTTACGTCGCGCTGCGCCGCTTTCTTTGAAATTTCTTCGAATCGTTCGAAGCGTTCAATTTAGAACTGATTTAAAATAGATTCCCTTTCCGATATAATTCGTTGTTTTTAACAAATTTACGTATATGATTTGAAAATAATCAATTGGCTGTAAGCATTATTTCCATCGAGTAACTAATCAGAGTCATCGCGTTCCGCGGCAAATGAGATGATAATTGATTCAGCGAGCGCGACGCACGTTCCTCATCCTCGGTCGCCGGTCTCGGTCAATTTCGTCCCGCTCGAAAACGCTCCGGCGGCGTGTACTCGTCCTCGAGGAAAAAGCCGCTATTTCTGGCTGGCTATTAACGAGCCTTAATTCGCGGGATTAGTTCGAGACGAGCGTAGCACGAAACCGTGAAAACCATAAAGCTAGTTACGACCACGGATAGAGCAGTCACCTGCCGCCACTTTTTTCGTTACGTCTCTCATACGTTTAGTCCTGCGTTTCGGAGCGAGGACTATTTCCAGTCGCTCTTCGTTAGAACACTATTATCTTCCCCAAACGAACCGCGAATCGCTACGAACGAAGTGTACCGAAAGTGTTAAGGGGCTGAGATGTTTCTCAGGGGCGAAGCTATTTAAGGAAACAATAATTGCTGTATAAAAATTGTTTCCAAGTTTATTAGGGAAAGATAAGATTTATCTTGTTGACGAGTATCTGTTATCGTTCATTGTTAATTGAATTCCGTGTTGATATTCCATTAAGAAGGAATTAAATTCTTATCAATGCTCCTCTGTATGAATCCATTTTTCGCCGACTAAAGGCAACATTTATCACATTTTCATTTTGTATTTGCGACAATCCTTCGGGAAGAATATTGCCTGACGTTTCCCTCATCTCATAAAACAGTGGCTTTCATGGAACGTTTACGATAGCAAGATCCATTACCGGAGTTCTTGCGCGCAGCCTGGTGTTCGTCGTTCATTCAGCGGCCGACTGTCTACTTCGTGTCCGTAAATTTCGCTCTCGGCTCGCGCTCACGTCTCTTAAATTTACGCTGCGCCCGCTAGGAAACGCGCAAAAATGGTTACGACTGGCCGTATTCCAACCGCGATTTCGATTCGATCGTCGACGCTTCCTCGTGAAACGCGCAACTTTACGGCGTGATTGTTGGAACTCCGTTAATGGCACGATAGCTGCGGTAAACTCAAGCTAGATTTGTCATTAAGCGTTAAATCACCGAGCCGTTTTTCCGAATGTTAACTCGTTTTCGTTCTACGTTATATAATTTCAATCGGATTATGTAAAGGCAATGAATCAAGCGAAGATAACGTTGAAGCGTAATTAATTTTTAATCAGACTTCGACGCCTGGTTCGGAACTAGTCTGCGAAGTTCGGTATAGCATTTGAATGAAAAGCTGTGGGACGAGAGATAATAGATAAAAGGGAGCAAGATTGGCGGGTAATGAGTTCGATAACTCACGGTTTCGAGTAAAGAGCGTGCGTCTCGAGTCTAGACGCAGCTTATGCGAAACTGCTCGGCTCGGTAAACACGATCCGGCGATCGTTTCGCGGGAATCGTTAAATCGGTCGTACAGAAAACGAGTTGTATTTAATACACAATATTAATGAGGGCAGTTCTTTGTACGCGGGTTCAAGTTATACCGGAATAACTCGTTCCGATAAGTTCTCGTTCCTAACGATTGCTAAAGCCCGAGTAAAACTACAATGTCACGCGTGTTGCACGCCAATTAATATTGCCCATTACGTTTTTGTCGACACGCGGATCGAGTCCCGAATCGCATCGGATTTCAATCCGCTTCTCGTAGCACGATCTGGCATTCACGGGTTAATGGAATTTTCGTGTCACTCGCGGAAATAAATAATAAACGCAACAGCGCCTCGCCGGATAGGCGTCACACACGAGTGGTACAGTTGGAATCGCTAACCGAGTAACAGCGACGCGACGTCGAGGAATCCGTTTCTCGCGGAATCCTAATCGCCAGTCGTGGCCGATCTCTTCACCGGTTTCTCCAGACAATGGAACGACGGCCGCGCGGGGAATACGAAAAAAGGGAACGGAGGAGCAGGAAAAGCATCGCGGAGGGGGTGAGAACAAAGATCGCCAGGGATTCACGGCGCGGGCTTCTCTCTCGCATGGGATACCCTCGTTCTTTCTTCCCCCGACAGCGACGACAACTTTTTACGCGACGCGAGGTTAACATACTTCCTGCCCGAGGACTGAAGACGGGCTGAAATTCCACGCAATAGTCGTCACGATACGCAGAGCAAGAAGCTATAATCGAGCTCCCGCGGGAGAAGGAATCTCCGCGGGGTCCTCGAGGAACGATCTTTCCCAGTTCCATCGCTGGGACCAACGGAAATCACCTGCAGTTCTTAGCAAACGAATGGTTATACAAAGAAATTCAACGAAAACATTTTTCTAATGAACCGTCCAAGAAGTTTACTGAAGAATCCCTTATCAAACGAATTCCATTCTCCCTGCGATCATTAGCATCGAGAACTGTTAAAGGCGCAGCTGCGGTATCTTATAAGGGAGTCAACAATACCCTGCAAGTGTGTATGGCACGAGGGGGGAAGCGATTATTAATCTTCGAAAGGCGAAGGATGTTGAGCGTGTACTTCGCGACCTACTCGGTGCAGGCATATTGTCGAAACGTGACCCCGGTGTTCACCGGGTGAATAGCGATAAATTATGGCAAAGAGCCTCGACACGGCTAATAGAATCTAACAAGGGGAGAATAAGAAGAGGATTTCTCGCGACAGGAAGTTTCACCGCGGGGTGTCTGTCGGTCCCCGAGGTCAGCCTCGCCATTTTTACGCGACTGGGAATTCACGCTGTTGATTGACACGTCGTCCATTCTTTCGTCGCACCGCTGCAGGCGATTATTAATTAGAGAGCAACTGGCCAGACGGGAAACGTGCGAACAAAGATGACAAGATGTTCGCCAATCTGTTGTCCGTGCAACATGTCACGTAATTAATCAATGCCATTACTAATTAGTAAGTAGGAACTTGACCTACATGACGAAAATATTTATAATCAAGCGTGTATAGAAATTGCTGTCTTCTCCGAAAGTTTGCAAGATTGTCTATAGCCCCAGAATACACGGGAAAGGAAGAACGTGGTTCAGCATTTCTTCTTATCTATCCCTGTTCAAGGATCGCCGCATAAATCGACCTGCTAGTCTAGATAAGGGAGTCAGGGAGAAACCCAAACAAATGCTTATCCTTTATCTGATACACGTTAGTCTTCTCCACGCCCAATCGCGATGCTGTTCGTACAAGATTACCGACAAGCGAGCGACGGGGTATCGATGTTGGCCGCCGCGGTGGATTGGTTCGGCTGTGAATCTGGCCGCGTTTGACACGGCGGAGGAGCAATTCCGCGGATTTACGATTCGACGGGGGAGGGAGAATGGTGTTTCGAGCACGACGCGATGCGAGCGGGAGCAAGAAAAGGGACACTAAATATAAACACCGTGTAGAAAACGTTATCGGGATCATCGGTGGCACGAGAAGAGTTCAGTTGTAAGTGTCCTCTTTGATGTCCCTGGGTGGGTGGTAACCCGAGAGTCCACAGCTGCGAGTATTCCGATCTAATTTCAATTTTAATACCCGTAGCATTTTTATTCGTGTTATTTTTTGGGAGTCGCACGAATTTCAAAGGCCTTCGTTAGACAAACTCTAATTTCGACGAATATTCGAATCTGTTATTTTACCATTTAGAGGAATGGTAGATCCTGGAACGGCAGAATTTCAGAACGGTCACGAAATAGAATTATAGTAATTACCATGGGCTTCTTAGTCAAATCGGCTTCAGAAACCAGACGATCCTTTACCGTGGATTCTGGCTGACACAATGCTTTATCGGTCCCCTCCGGCTCCTCGCGTGAGCCTGAAACTACCTACTAAACATCGTTCCACCAATTTATCCACCGATGAATCAGCAGAAATTGTCCGTCATTTGCGGAAGGACGCGATTCCCTTGTGATCTAGATAAGACGTTCCTGTTTCCATGAGAATCGTTTTCTAAACCTGTTCTGCTCGAGTTTCATCGAGGATTCTGTTTGCGCACCAAGCGAAATCGCACGACGTGCGAATTTAAATACACTTTTAATTATGCGCACATTTCTGGGATTTAAAAAGCTCGTACAAATTATTGCCGTTCTTAAGCGAGTACGAGATAATCGTCGAGATTACGGCGTCTAAATTAAGCGTATGTGCAAATATTCTGTCGCGGTCGAGACTCGATTCTTTTGCATCATTCGGTCAATAGTAACGCGGTTTAGAATGAGAATCGCGTTGATACGCTGAAAAAAATTGTCGAATCGAAACCAGAGTTCGTTTAACGATTCTTGAAAAAAATGTGACTCGGTTATCTCGTTTTTAATTAAGCAGATTAATATGTGTCCGACTCGGTTATCTCGTTGCCGAGATTTATCAGACGTTTTTTTAGTACCGTCTGCTTCTCTTTCTGCGCGCGCCGTGAATTTTATGAATATTTTCCGTCGGTTGCTCAATTGCGCGTGCAACGCATGGAAACGATCTTTCGGATCGGATTTCCACGCTGAAAGTGAAACTAACTAATGGTACGAGGGCCCGGGCGTTGCTAATCAGAAGCTTTGCTCGCCACCGTCGCTTTTTTATTCTAACAATCGGTATCGTGTTCACCAGTTCAACGAGCATGTACATTTAGAAAGTACATTGCCCTGGATATTGCCGATACACGGTATCGATTGTTCGCGTTCAGTAGGAAGTTCACTTTTTATTCAGAATTTGCTCTGACTGATTCTTGGACGTCGATAACGATGTACTTAACCATATAAGAAGTCTGCATCAAAACTGTGTCAGGCTAAGCCCGCGTACGTGATCCAGAAGAAAGCAAGTTCATTTTCTACATATATGAAACGTTTCGCAATTGAAATTCTGAACCGCTGTCAGACTTTCAACTACCAAGTTTACGTTGTCCCTCGAGTGGTTCAAAGAAATAGTTAAAATCTTTGAATACTCACCGAGAGGTATTCGGCGTGGACAGCGGCGACGAGGAACAGCAAAAGGAAGAGGAGGGCCGCGTTCGCCCCCAGGAGGCGGCCGATCATGCCCGGTGGATGGAGGCCCGAGGGCAGCGGGCAGCGCAGACAGTTCGACGACGAAGCGGGCCGTCGCGGACGCATCGCCTCATGGTCGCGACATGCCGCGTGCTCGTTGTCCTCGCAGTTGACGTCGCGTCGTCGTCGTTCCCTCTTAGCTTTTATTCCCTACCTTCCTCTTCTCCTGGAGAGCACAAGCGTGATTGTACGTGCGCGAAGTGGCGTGAACCCGCGAGCCCCGCGCGGCTCTATAAATACGGCCGCGACTTCGCGCGAGGAATTTCAAGCGAGCTCGAGTCGTAAAACACCACGAGTGGAAGAACTCGAGGAGGGGCTTCCAAGCCTTTTTCCCGTGGCGAGGATGCTCCTGGATGGTCCCGGGGCGGTTTCAAAGCGGCCACTCGACGAGTCCCCTGCTCCCGTTAGCAGCCTCCTGAAACCATCGATGAGAACAGCGTGTTATTACCGTTTTTCCGGATACCCGCGCTCGCTCGCCTTCGCTTGTTAATTTCGCTTAATGCGCGCTAACGAGCTTACGGAAGGTTCGAGTCTCGTTTCTTACAATTAAGTACGTTCGTTCGGTAGTAGAGTTGTTACGGATTTTGCGGTAGAATCTCTATCCTCGATAACCCCTTCAGTTTACTCCATCTGGGATAGTTTCAACCGCGTCAATTAAACCGCAGGGATGGAAGCAAATAATTCTAGCTCGTTGGCTAATTGACGTTGTTCGTTCGCGTTTTACGAGCAATCAGTTTCTAGTCCTCCGCTAATTGTGCCGATGACTAGCCAATCGTTAGCGACAATTACCCGACGCTGTACAGAGGATCTTTTTTGTACCTCTACTTTCGAACCGAACGAGTATATACTATTCATCGAGTCACGATCTCCATTCAGAACCTAGCACGTCTTCAACAGGCGTGAATGCGAAATCGATGGGCGAGAGTGCATCGCGAGTGAACTTTAACGGTAGAAACAAACGGGCGAGTCATTGAATCGATGCTCTCTGGCCGGAAGTAGTCGGGTGTGTAGGATTACAGTAGGAGGATCCCGAGATACGGTGTGCGTGTAGGATACAGGTGGCGAGGCACGTTTCTTGACAGAAAAAATACACCAGGATATTACCCAGCATCCACGCAAACTCAGCGGTGTACGCGTTACGAATCTTTATGTAACACGAAAGTGGATACGGTTCACTCTGCCGTGTCTATCCCGTTTCATCGACACGAGAACGTTGCACGTGTGACTTCGGTCTCCGATTCGCACGAAATCGAATTCATATCCTACTTCTCATTACCACGTTTTGAAATGGTTACCTTGTTTGACGCGTCCATCTCATAGGTTTCAGAAATTCGATTGCTTACTAAGAAGCATCGTTCGCTGTTCCCAACTTCTGTGAAAATGTACTCAGGTGCGATTAGGGATTATCGAGAAACGCGATAGATAAACGCGCGCGCGTTCCCCGGTGCAGCGTGTCGGGTCGCGTCTCTTCAACTAATCAGCGTCTGGAAGTTCTCAGCGGGATTAGAAGCTAGAGCTAGGCCGTTCTCCAGCCGGTGAAATTGTTTAAGTTGAAGTGTACAGCGTGCCGGCGACCGATATTTTTAGTCCTCCCTGCCCTCCGTCATCTGTCTTCGAGTTTGGGTTTCCTGGTCGTTTTAGACTCGACGTCGAGACGGCGCGGTTCGTTTCTGATGATTCCTATAGACACGTTTCACAGTTTCCAAGGCACTGTAATAATCGAAGAGCGGCTCGGTTCTTTGACTATCTTTTTTTTAAAAGTCACTTCTTCGCGCACTTAGTCGGTCCTCTAATTGAATTTCTCTGTTCTCACAATGAAACAGTCTTGTCAGTTCTCATTGGAAGCGCATACAAAGTCGTTGAAAAATAGACAAAGTCTTCCGTGTACTGGAGCTTCTCGAGCACACGCACGTGGCTCCAGGCCGACTGACGAGATACACGCGCGAGGAAATATCAACAGAGGAGGCTGAGAGGAGTGGCTACCAAGCGAAACGGAAGTGGAGGGTGATTCTGCGGGAACCTGTGGCCGTGGTGGGGTGCCGCTGTATGACAGAGGGTATACCCGTCACTCGGTGGTTTCTTCGTGGATGCTGGACAGGGACCCATACGTGGCCGAAGATGGACACCAGTCCATCTCCAATAAGGACACCGTCTTGTACCGACGATGACGAAAGCACCAAGGGTCTTTTTTTCAACGGCGAACAATCGTTCAGGTTGACGTTTTAGGAGTGTCTCGCGAAAGGGCACGAGTGTACGCGCTTACCTCGACTCCGAGTAGTTCTTCGGTGCTCTTGCGAAAGGAAGAGTCGCGACTGGAACTAATCGTTGACTGGTGATTCACAAGGGATCGCAATCTAAACTTTTAGAAAAACGCGTAAGCCTGTTGATCGATAAAACACTCTTCCTTTTTTAATGCGCTACGAGGTCAAGCACCAGAGATTATTTAATGAGCAGGCGATCGTTCGCTGGTCGGAGGTGCCAGATCGACGTATCAATTTCGTGCACTCTAGGTAATTGCTAGTAATTGGGAAATCCATTCTTCCGGAATGAGAAGAGAGCAGATAGACCAGGGTCGTTGTGGAAGATTCGGTTAATGACACATGCTGCTGCCCGGCCGAGTATCTTTGCGGTTTGGCCACGCCCAAACCTCCGGGAAGATTACACGAAATTACCTGATTTTTGGGGTAAAAAGCCGACCTCGAGCCGAGGGACCGGCCGATTTTATGGCAGAAACGAGGACCGTTTTCCCTCTTAGGAGCGGCCTTGATACCGGACACGAACCACAGACATTCCTCGACTCTTTCGCCCTTTTATTTTTCACTGTACATTGGTCGCCGATTGACGGTAGCGAAATTACGCTGCGCGCTTTAACTAACTAATTGAAGCATCCACGGTGAGAGTATCGTGGCTTTTGGAATTAATTCCCACGCGAGCAACCGTGCCCTTTTAGAGATAAAGAAAAGGGACGGTAAGTGCCGGCAACGAGAATCCAATAAATCAGTGTCTACGTCGGAGGCAGGACAAGACAGGGGAGCCTCGACTTTTATTTATGCTAATTCCAGCAACCCAATTTAATTACACGATTCAAATGTTTCTCAGACTACAGATTCTACTTTGTTAATTACTATATGTTTCTACAAGGACATGTTTAAAGAATTTCTACGTTTCTCCGGGTGTGTGCGTCTATCTCGCAGATAAGCGCAATCAAAATTTTTTTTAAAATAACAACTGGTTTTATCAGTCAGATAAGCCGCGGATTACGTGTGTTTCAATTAAACGGCTTGTTAATCGCCGTTTCAGCATTCAGCGTGCATTCTTTCGCAATTGGACTTGCGGCTATTAAATTACAACTTTATTTAATCGACTGTCTCACGTATCAGGCATCGGGCGCGGTCACAATTCGGAATTTACCCACGTGACCCGGAATCGAACGAACTAGCGCGAACCCTTCGCTTCGGTAACGTAGAGTTAGAGCTCGTATATTTTGTTTAATTTATTTATTGTACGAAGGGTAACAAGTTCAGGAATTAATTAGTATTACTGCGGGGTTAATTCTAGAGAGTGCATCATTCTTTTATTTGGGATGGCAAAATAGTCGGCGTTACGTAGTCGTGACGTAATGGCGATTTTAATGGCGTGGTCAGTCGTAGGCACGGTAGGGTAGGCGTGGACGGTAGGAGTAATTAGTTGTAGCGTCGAGACGCTAACTTTTAATTTTCCTTCAAGTATTCTTCAGTTACCGATAGAATGGCCAACAGAGGAAGCTTTTACGCTTTGCTGACAGTATTATTCGTTCTCTGTTGGATTCAACAAGGTAAATGTTGCTTTTATTTCCAAATATAACCTCCACGACGCAGCGTCTAAACTTCAAACAACATGAACTCCGCTGCTGTTTGTTAATTCTCCCGGTTTTCGTTGTCTATTTACAGGATTTTCTATCAAATGCTGGGTGTGCAGATCCGACTCCGATCCGAAATGCGCGGATCCATTTGATAATACGACCGTGCCCATAACTGATTGCAAACAGGAACCCGATTTAGAACATTTGCCAGGAGTACGGCCGACGATGTGTCGTAAGATCCGTCAAAAAGGTGTGTTAATAATCTCAATTATTCTTTACGTTAAGGTTAGACTCTTGTAGCGATTTCTATCGGTTGGATTCTGTTGTTCTTCAGTCCATGGGGTTTGGAGATATTTTCGTAGTTGCGCTTACATGGGGGAACCAGGAATCGAAGGTGACGAACGGTTTTGTCTTATGAGAACTGGCACTTATAACATATTTATGGAATATTGTACTTGTAATAGCAAAGACGGTTGCAATTCAGCTTCCGAGCATCGTACAAGCATATTTGTTTCCGTCCTAGGTTTAGCAGTTTCATTGAGATTCGTATTTGCTTATACTTAATGAATAGTGACCAAAGATTATCGATAGCTCTGGTTAAGCAATATACATATATCAGATCATGTTTTCTTCAACAATATAGATTCGCTCGTACTTACTAATTAATGACATTCGTCGCTGTAATCAAATGATCTGAAATTCAGAGTGGTAGAACATTCCAGTTCATATCAAGGGTCGTTTATAAGGGTCGAAGATATCATCCAGCAGTTTCTTTTCTAAGAATTTTATAGCTCCTTTGTGCCTTACTAGATGAACAGTATTTTTAAGAAGATTTTACAAAAGTTTTTTAACGGAGGTACATTTTTACCTTTGAGAGTATTTTACATCGAGAGTAATTTTTTATAGAAATATATTTTTATGAGTCTAATATAATTTTTAAGAGCTTGTATCATACTTACATTTAGGCTCGTCTAGTACAAACGATTCATCGCTGATAATATAATCGAGTGTATTTATACTAACACTACTGTGTAGCACAATATGAATAAGACTGTCGATTCCGTCCATTGAATAAAAAAGGAGAACTCATGATCTTAGCGTAGTTTAATTTGATTGTGCTTTTTGTATTTTTGTACGTCTTCGTTGTTAAACTACACGTAAATAAAAGTATGATCGCTTGCAATAATGCATCATTCCCTCATACTTTTTGTACATGTGTATGTTGAAATAAAAATGAAATAAAGATCTGGTGTGTGAGGAAATGGACAACTACCTTTACGTATAACAACAGGTTTATTACATTGAAAATATATCTCTGTTATACAGACGCGTGCATATTAATAACATGGTACATACAATTTTTTGGTGTGACTGTTTAGACCTTAAGACATGCTAAATTCTCAGTAGTGTGTGTGTAAATTATATATGTGTAAATAGTCGTTTACAAAATACATAGTCGATTATATGTTACATGTTAATACACGTAGAACAGTGAGCAAAATTTCTACCAGCGCGATTAACACCGAATTGGCCGTAATGTAAAATACTATGTAAAATTTTATGCACGTAGAAAAGAATACTTTGCCGTTGATATTAGTAGAATGCTAACGTAAAATTACAATCTATTAAGTCTATCAACGTAATAATATTTTACAACGTAACTTAAATTTCCTCTGGCACAAAATTTAGTCTCTTAGCGACAGAAAGAATTGCACTGTCGCGTCAATCTCGTGCACTCCCACAATCAAGTTCCCAGGCACTTATGTATTGGACGGCTCTATCGTTCCGATTCCTAGCAGAAACTTTCAAAGTTCCTTTCGTAAAATTGTGGACGGTTAAAGTTCGTAAAAAAAATGATATGTACAGGATACAAAAGACTTTCGTATAGCGCATGTTATTAAAAAAAAATATAAAAAGATTTCGTAGTTCATGGAGCAACGATATACGCTGCGTTGTCCATGAAAGTTTACCTAAGTAATTCTTAGGAACGGCACTATCGACCGCGATCAATTATTCATAAAATTCGCGTGAGCTGAAAGTAGGTTTACGCTCGAATGGAAAATCGAGTAAAAGTAGAGACTCCCGCGGCTCAATAATTTATCGATCAATTCGTGACTGCCTTTCGTTCTCATTCGAATGCCAGCCATTTCGTTATCTGCTGCCCCGGTTTCGCTAGTGCCTGTTTCCATTGTTCACCATAGGGTCCACCGACGTCTGCTCCGATCACGAAGTGACCGACAGTCGTTTTCTTCCCTAAAACAACAGAAACGGTTTTGTAACGGTTCCTCTTCATGACATCTCATCCGATACAATGAAATAGCTTACCCATCTTATTTTTAGAGACGAACTTGATCACAAAACTAACATCGTTGAGGGCACCCTGATACGGATTATCCGCGGTCACTCTGGCGGCATCAGGATTGAACTTCATCGATACACACGGCGCGAAACGATCGCTCTTCCAAAAATGAGTCACTTTCCCGTTGTCCACAACAGACATTTTAATATACATCTGTCCTTTCAATGCCTCGTGCTCGTGCATCGTTTGCAACGAACATCTTAGACGATGCAGGGACAATATCAATGTCTCGCTACCCTCTTCCCTTTTGTCGGCCTTCTCTTGACACAGAGATAATTCGACCTGGCCTTTCTTATTTTCCTTCTGTAAACACATCAAGGAAACCACGTTTGATTCATTATGCTGTTTTGTTTAACGAAAAGATATTTCTAAGATGACTATATTGTGAATATATTTACCCTTTCCTCAGCCCCAGAGATACCGCTAGCGATCGGTCGCAGTGGCCGCCACATGTCGCCCGTGGACACATCGCCCGGGTGCTTGGGTTTGGGTGGTTTTGAGGTAAAATTCTTCGGATCGAGGGAAATCGTCGTTGCACCTACTGTTCTTCTTTTATCATACATTTTCCTTTCCGTAACCGAGGTTTCGGTGCTCTTATCTGACGATTTGCCAAAAAACTGGCTGAGTAATTTATTCTTCGTCGGTTCCTGAGTTTCCGTGGATGCTCCTTGACCATCTTTCTTCTTCCCGCCTTTCTTCGGCGATTCCTTAGCCGGTGACGAGGTTTTCTCCTTGTCAGCGTCCTTCTTGTCAGTCGCTATCAACGGTTTATCCTCGAGTATGGCGTACAGAGTCGCCACGATGAACTTCGACCCATTGATTTCTTCTTCAACTACTTTCGTTTTGCCAAATGTTTGCTTGGTCTCTTTTCGAAGATGGAACACGAATTCCTCGTTCCATTGTGGCCACGACTCATTCCTCGATGTGGTCTCGAACTTTTCCTTTCCAGGTATCAACTTTACCTGAAATAGAAGCGGCTTACTTTCTAGCCCAGTTTTTCCATTGAGAGGTAGTTTGTTCGAGTAAACGGTGACTAGCCGTCGCTCCGGCCCAGAATATTTGCATTTAATCTATGTTTCGAAGACTAGCAATGTTACGCCACTATTACTTGCGAATAAGACGTAGTTTTTTATGCAAAATACATTTACAGTATCGGTTTAAAAAATGTGATTTAAACTGAAATTTTATTTATTGTATATTTCACAATTTTCTATGAATGCATAAAATCTGCAGAAAACTCATGAATTTTGCATAATTATGCGAGCTTGCGTCTTCGTAATTCTTTTGAAATACGTCAATCATTTTTGAACGCTTTTCACATTCTCCGAGTGTAGAAACGGAACACTAGCAATCGATAAACTGAGTGAGCATGGAAACTATTTTAATATCCCTTTAATTAACGTGATTGGAAGCGTATCGTGAGAAGATAAGGGAACCCGGTACGACTCCCACGCGACGTTATTGTCTCGGAAGATTCGTGAGTCAATAGAGGCACCCAAGTGGGCGCGAAGAGCCTTCCCTCCTGCCGATTCCGTTAAATGATTACGTAACGCGTCGTGATAACAAAGATTACAGACTGTCTGCTGGGTAATACCTTGACGACGTAGCTGTTGACACGGGTGAAACCGAAATTCTGTGGCAAATGTCGAGCACCAAGAACGGTCACGTGAAGCGCCTTCTCGTTAATCGAATGAACGATCCTAATGCCTACTTCCGGTTCCAGATTCACCGTGCGATCCAACGGCGTGGACACGGTTTTTAGACCGGTGTCTATGAAACTCTTGATCTTAGCCAAAGCCATGTCTTCTTTTTATCCACGAATCCGCGTATATACTCTTATCGATCGCGATCGATCGTCTACAAGAGCGTCGTGGATGATGTTCACTGTAAACAGAAATTTATAACGTAACACCTATTCCTAGGTAAACTATTAATACCTGCAGGCTATAGTTTGAAATATATTTTCGGCTACGTAGTACGTCTCGGTTTTCCCAAAATATTGCTTATCTATCATCGCGCGCTGTAATCGATAAATTTTATCAGCGTTAACTCAAGACGGTGCAACGTTCCTTTGCGTGTTGTAAGAACGATAAGTACAGCGGAAACGGTCGAGCCGTGATCGTCGTCAATGATTAACGGTAAACTTGGGTGAGGCTCGAGAAGCTTTCAACAGTCCTAAAAGATTGCACCCTGACAACAGGTGATCCTATCAGCTGTTTCGTCGGTTTATCGCGTAGATGCATCTGTCTATCAAATCGAGTTTCCTCCGATGAGGAAAATCGATTGGATCACCGGGCGTTGTCGCCGAAAGTCTCGGTTGGAAACAGCGTACCATAATCTTGGTTGGTTGAATCTTGACTCGAGAGAGACTGGCCGGTTCAGAGCACGTTCACTGGGCGAGTCTACGGTAAATATCCGAGCGTCAGACGGTCTCCATGACCACAGACGTAAACGCAGACGCGGGTAAACTAAGGCGAAGGCGGCTGTCTTTCACTTGTCACGCACAAACTCCGCGACCGTCGCCTCGAGCTCGGCGAGCATCGTGCTACGGAATTACTCAAGTTTTTAGCTTCGAGTTGAGAACACGCGATCTGACGCGCACCGAACGCCGTCGAGAGCTTCGAAACGACGCGCTGCCGTGGTATGCAGCCCGCGCTCTCGCGTGGGTTCCCTTTATAAGAGGGCGAGCCGACTCCACAGTAACGGCTACATCGAGGGGTCTGTATCCCAGGGCTCCGATATATCCAGTTTAATTCAGAGCCAATGGTAATTAATAGACTGCAGATATTTATAAACAATAAACTGTTTACGATGTCAATTTAAAAAATGCATTTTAGGCAGACATTCGTTTATCATTCAAATATTGCATTGTGCATTGACGTTTTAATATTTCATATACTTTTATATATACCAAGCGTTCTTTACGCTTTCTGTAATGTATCTAATTTTTCTGCAAATGCATCAAATCCGCAGTCTAGTAATTAAAAATAGATACAGTTGGTATAAAGAAATTGTTCTTTGTATACTTGTGGCTATTACTTGAAATATGAATGAGAATCAGTTGCTGGGTTTTGCTATCCGAAGAAATTTTAACGGAAAGGCAGGGCGTGCTGTACTGTGGGTACGTGAGTGATGCAAAAACTGGCCTGTGGAGGGTAGGGGCAGCTGTTCGTATACTTCATCGTACAATCTTTATAGACTCGACTTGGATACCGACGCCTGTTGCGTACACAAGGTCGCGCAATCATGTTCGTGTGAATGTGCGAGATTGTGTGTCTGCGCACGCGAATATGTACGAGCTACTGAATGAGAGTGTATGAATTCACTATCGTACGGATGGCAAGCACGCGACGGTAGTCACTGAAATATTGACAGAAGAAATTAATGCATAAACATAAGAGAAATAAGGAAAAAATCAATTTCTCATACTGTGTAAAAAGAATAATTGTCAATCTAGAACCACGTGTTCATATCGTCAGATGTTCATTTTTATGTTACTTTTGAATCTCAATTTGAATTTCAATGAGTACTTAAATATTATAGTAGTTTGTTGTCGAATAATATCGTGCAGAATAAAAGAATGTGCACGATCCAGATTAACGCGCAGTAGATCTAATTGTAATGTGTAACAATATCGGACGAGCAATGGAATGCAGCACACGGTGCATTGCGCTGCATAAAAAACAAAGCGTGGAGGAGACATTTAAATACACGCGTCAGATGCAATGCCAGATGTATCTCTTAATTCGCCGCTCGTCAGTTTTTCATTAACCTTTTATTATGTAAATCTTTCAGTTCTGCGATACGTTTCATGCTTATACATCTGCCTAGACGAATTTTACTTATTCTTCGTACAATCTCTTATTAGGATTGTGATTTTATTTTATTATATTTGATAAAAGTAATTTAGTTATTTTTTATTAGTCGATGTATGTCGTTTGGAAGGAGTAGATTAGATAGAATTGTTTAGAGGAAAGAGGATTTAGATGTTTAGGTTCTAATACAATTCTCTTCTAGTACGCAATTGAGAATGTTGTTCTTTGCATAATAAACTACATTGATTGCGCGTGATGATATGCAAGGATACCTTTGACAGTCATATCGACCTTCGTCTTTGATTAACATTGCTATCATGCGTAGAATTATTACACAACTGTGGCTTCAAACAAAAGAATATTCGGAAGAAAGTAGACACCCATAATTAAAACAATTACTTTTTATTCCTTATACATTTTACATTAAAATTTGATAATTCAGAATAAAGATCAATGAAATGTGGTACCCTAGGTCGCGACCTTGTCCTGCCCAGGGTTTCCGGTCCAGCTTCAGTTACGTGGAGCGGTCGTCAGATGGCTGAACGTACTTTCCAAACAACCCCTTTTCAACCCCAATAACGACCCTCCCTCCTGAACAGCTGTTCTTCAGCGCCATGGCGCACGCGACTTCGTGGCATCAAAGACGTTCGCGACGCGTTTCGGCTTCGCCGGTACGAAATTGCGTTCACGCGTTCGGTTTTACGTGCGCGTCAATTTTTCAGTTGTCGCAAAACGTCTTTCGCCTAAAATGAGTGCGGGTAAAAAGTACTCGTGTGCCGTGCCAAAGTGAGAGTCGCAACGTTTCCCATTCATCGAGAGGTTCACCGGTTCGACTGTCGTATCAAAAAGGTACGTGATTTATTACTATTTCTTTTATAACACGAATGTCGCATACACGAAATGTACATTTATTGATTTTAACGTATTGCGGTTTTGCGATTTGATTTCGAAGTATACATGCGTTAGTAAGGGTGGTATCCTTTGATAAGAGATGGTAACGAAACATTCGCGATCTATTATATGAATAATTAATAGTTTCTAATCAGAGAGTATTTATGGGACACATTTATATTGTTTTTAATTTCGATAAATGTTTTTTAACATTACTATTTCGGGAAATGTTCTAAATCAGTCATTACGAATATGGCAATTGCTTCATTTAGTACAAAGTAATTCGAATTGCTTTGTGCATGTTTTATGATACTCCATTAATCTTGCAATGTTAATTATCCTGTACGGAAGTTAATCCTACCCCCAACGCGAACTGTTATCAGAATTTCTTTGCAAGAGATGGCAGCACGCAACGCGATTCTTAGGGATGAATTCAGATATATTGTTTAAAAATAACTGCAGTTCAATAGACACACTTGTTCTATATTTAGTTGCCTGTTTATATTTTATCTTCCTCGAAGCAATTTTTACTTATCGTCGTTTTCTACGTGTTTGTTGTGAGTCATTCACCGGAATTTATCATTTCATATCAATTTACCAATATAAATGAACAAACATTTTACTGAACGAAGCCTGCTTTCTAAAAACAATCAGTAAAGTTTACTCCAATAGCCTTCAGCTGCTCGTTTCAACCAGAAACAATGCGAAAATATTAAGCAAGTAGACGAGGGAAATACTAACAGGGAACTCGGTGAAGAAGCGTACGATAATAATTTAAACCGCGCTGCGATATCTATCCGGTTTCCTTTTGCATTTTACACAGAGAAAGACGCTGAGGGGGCGAGCAAGTTTCATCCCTTTATAAATACAATTCGCGTTCCACGTTCCATCGTCGCGTACACTTCTGCGGCTCCATTTTTCAGTCAGCTTCAGCTTATTTATTCGCTCATCTTTTTGCTTGTTTTGTTCTTGCAGATAGCCAGAACAAGTTTAATCACAATTGCATCGCTCCAACCGTTCCACCTACCTTCGCTTCGCCCTTTATAATTTAACGAACTTAACGCCCCCGTTTTCCAGTTTCGCAACCATCTTCTCGCTCGTCGACGATGAATTTCACCCTCTCTCGCGTTCACCCTATTATGGACTCTTTTGAGTAGTACAATTTAAAAGTTTAACCACCTACGTATTCAACGGATATTTCCGGGGGTATCTGGCAGGCCTAGAGGGATCATTTTTCATTGGTCAGTCCGGAAAAATTGATCTGAAAAACTACCTAATTAACCAGGCCGGGGAAACTGTTAAAAACACCTGAAGTAAATTTTTCAGTCAGGATTTGTCTATTACCAACTACTTCGGTTTTCGAATTTCGCTTAATTCCTGGTAATGGTTGAGAAGGAACTAGTCCAAACGAACTTTCATCGAATAATGAAATTTCTCTGAATATCGCATCACCTATTGAATATTCCAACGGAACGAATTTCGCTGGAAATTTGAACGGGACGGAACTTACGCTACTCGAATGTCGCATTGGAAGTTGTCGGAAAACTCGTTCGAGAGCTAAGCCGGATGCTTCGCTAAAATTGCCGGGGAAAATATGCGGGGTCGCGAAACCGTAGTTAACTGCACGTTATTCGCCGCATTTATCGCCCGACCGTTGTTACCTCGAAACGGAACGGTTGTTCGGCCTCTCCTTTGAGCCGTGCCACGGCCCTTCAGGTGCATTAGTCCGGTGAAAAATGATTTCGTTACACGAGATGTATTATTCAGCCCCACGTACACCGCCCGCCATAAGTATTGCTTTACTTTATAGAGGATCAATAAGTTGCAACAATAGATTTATACGATACTGGATACACTGTTCATTCACGATCATCGATACAATGCTATAATGGTTGATACAATAGGTAGTACGATTATTGATATAGTAGTTTATTTATTAATGGAACGTATAGCATGAATACGATTAAAAATCGAATGTGACTAGTTTATAATTCTCTGTATTTATTACCGTCGCAGCACATTTAGTCGCTCTTTGAATCACGTGCGCAGCCCTTTAAGTGCATCATTACCTATTCCCTTTTGTGCTGCGTCTCTTCCACTTTTGCCTGGACCGATGCGAGCCCGGGCAAAATGAATAGCAAAACTGGTCCTCGTGTTCCCCTGCAACTTGCTCGAATTGTTTTTCCGCCGCGGCTCATCTGCCACGCTTTGTATTTTGGCTCGCGAACTTTTCCGAGCTCGCCGAGAATCCCCGGAACGTTTGATTAAACGCTGTTCACATTTTTCCCTCGTTTATCCTCATCGATGGTACTTAACATTCGGCGGAAAAATATTTTTGTACAGAACGTTGGCTCTGGTTGTAATCGGAACTGATCCGGCTGGCTTCTCGGTAACGTTGATAGATGACAATTATCGCAAATAAACAATCGGTGGTAATGAAGGGCCGGTGAAACGGACGCGCTCATCAATCGTCGCCGCTAGCGCGTAGACAGAAATTTCATTTATCGAAAAAGTTTAAATCAAACCGACATTACTCACGGTGCGCCGCAACTGTGACCGGCCCGTTTCGATTCCACCAAAAGCCAATTGCAATTCGTTTCGTCACCGACCACCCCGTCCGGTGTCGTATCGCCCGCACTTTCCAACCCCCTTTTCACCGTCTGGCCAACCATTATTCCGAAATTTCCGAACAAGAGAGATTTCGTTTCGGCATTCGTATTTTTCGTCCGGCATACATACATACATACATACATATAATGTTTTTCACACTCGGCCTGCCTCGATTCACCGTGGAACGGTGGTTTAAACGTTGTTTGGCGTACGCCCGAAAAAAAAACCCGCAGAGTCAGAAACACGGGATCGCTTTGAGGAGGAAACTCCGAAACAAAATTGATTAGCAGGAATTATTCGTAGCAAAGAGAAGGTTGATCGAGTCGGCGGTTACCTCTGGTTGTGCCAG